GCCTGTAATCCCAGTACTTTGGGAGGCCGAGGCAGGCAGATTGCAAGGTCAGGAGTTCCAGACCAGCCTGGCCAATATGGTGAAACCCCATCTCTACTAAAAATACAAAAATTAGCTGGGCGTGGTGGTGGGCACCTGTAGTCCCAGCTACTCGGGAGGCTGAGGCAGGAGAAGGAGAATTGCTTGAACCTGGGAGGCGGAGGTTGCAGTAGACTGAGACTGCGCCATTGCACTCCAGCCTGGGTGAGAGAGCGAGGCTGTCTCAAAAAAAAAAACCAAACAAACAAACCAAAAATTAGCCGGGCGTGGTGGCACATGCCTGTAATCCTAGCTACTCTGGACACTTAGGCAGGAGAATCGCTTGAACCTGGGGGGTGGAGGTTGCAGTGAGCTGAGATCACGCCACTGCACTCCAGCCTGGGCAACAGAATGAGAGTGTCTCAAAAAAAAAAAAAAAAAAAGGTATCTTTGATAAAAGTTAATAAAAGTAGTGAGTATAAAATTAGAGATAATTGGTCAGGTGCGGTGGTTTACACCTGTAATCCCAGCATTTTGGAAGGCCAAGGCAGGCAGATCCCCTGAGGTCAGGAGTTCAAGACCAGGCTGGCCGATATGGTGAAACCGCATCTTCTACTAAAAAAAAAAAAAAAATTAGCTGGGTGTGGTGGCATGTGCCTGTAATCCCAGCTACTCGGGAGGCTGAGGAAGGAGAATCACTTGAACCTGGGAAGCGGAGGTTGTATTGACCCGAGATTGTGCCACTGCACTCCAGCCTGGGCAACAGAGCAAGACTCCATCTCAAAAAAATAAAGTAAAATAAAATTAGAGATAATTGTATCTTTTTGAGCATATTTTATATAATTTTCTCAAGTGCTAGTTCTTAGTAAGAAACTCTTAACATGATGCTCTCCTCACTCTGTACCCAACCCGGTGGCATCCCATGCTGAGACCTGTAAGCCCTGCACCTGTACCCACCTCTTGTCCATGGCATTGGTGCCGGGTGGTGAGGGGAGTCACACCGGGCATCTGCTCTGGCAAATAGGGAGCTTGGCAAATATGGGAAGGATCTTAACCCGATTCTTGAAACTTAGAAGAACTTGGATGTGCCTGTGTTTTCCAGGAGGAAAGACACATTGCTTTGGGTGAAAGGGGGTGGGTTTCCTGAAGGTTCTGAAGGACAGAGCCCTAGGTGGGAGCTCTGTCCCCTTACCCATGGAATATCTTTTGGGACAGCGTCTGTGTTTTGTGTGAGCCTGGACCCCAAGACCAACACCTTGGCAGTGACCGGGGGTGAAGATGACAAAGCCTTCGTATGGCGGCTCAGCGATGGGGAGCTGCTCTTTGAGTGTGCAGGTGAGGGGCTGAGGTAGAGGCCTGGGAGAGGTCATATTCCTTTGGGAGATCTTAGGAGCCTGGCCTGCAGTGGTCGTGCATCCAGTAGCCACTTAGTGACGTCTCTTTTGTGCCAGCTCTGTGCTGGGCCCCAGGGACACGGGGAGAATACTAGTGTGTTTTGGGCACAGAGGCAGGAGGCACTCATTGGCCAAGGGAGTCTAGGAAAGGCCAGAGGAGGTCACATTGGTATAGGAGCAGTTGGGCAGAGGGGAGGACTTGGGATTGTGGGCAGAGGTGTAGAATGGACAGAGGGGGAAGGCATAGGAGGCTGGGGCTTGGCCTGGTTGAGTGACGGCCAGCAGTGTCTCTCCTGGCGAGACATGGGAGGGTTGGTTCCTAGAGCGGCAGTGAATTCCAGCACCTGTTCTGCTCAGGCCCGCCCCTCTTTTTTTCCTAGCTGATCGTTTCAGGGGGCCAGATACCAGAATCACATGCCCCCAGCACCAGGTACCCTATTGTTTTCCCCTCTTTCTGCCCACTTTTCTTTGAAGGCCATAAAGACTCTGTGACTTGTGCTGGTTTCAGCCATGACTCCACTCTAGTGGCCACAGGGGACATGAGTGGCCTCTTGAAAGTGTGGCAGGTGGACACCAAGGAGGAGGTCTGGTCCTTTGAAGCGGGAGACCTGGAGGTAAGATCATCAGAGTGGGAGTCAGCTCTGTGGGGCCTTGGGTTGCTGGGTGTGCAAGCTTGGGAGGCCAGTTCTTCCTTATTGCGCCAAACCAGCTCTGAGCCAGTGCGCCCCAAGGCACGGGAAGAAGGTCTGCCTGCTACCTGGAAAATCCCCGCGGAACCCCAGAGGCAGGAAACCTTGGGTGGAGCTCATAGGACAGGCTTCTAGGTGGGATGGGGTGACGGGCCTCCCTGCTGCCCCTTCCTCCCTGTCCAGTGGATGGAGTGGCATCCTCGGGCACCTGTCCTGTTGGCGGGCACAGCTGACGGCAACACCTGGATGTGGAAAGTCCCGAATGGTGACTGCAAGACCTTCCAGGGTCCCAACTGCCCAGCCACCTGTGGCCGAGTCCTCCCTGATGGTGAGAGCACCTCCCTTGAGCGTCCTTTCCTGGGTGCAGAGGCTGAATCCCGGGATATACACCTCCCGGAGCAGCCTTCTGGGCCACAGCCGGCAAACTCTGAGGCCTGCTCTTTGGAGTGCTGACCCCCTGGCCCCAAAGCTCATAGCGCCTCTTTCCTGCTCTGAACTCACCTGTGATTCCTGGGGCAGTGTCTGGGCGCTTCCACTCTTCTTTCCTCTCCCTCTCCCCATTCCCTTGCTTAGTGTATCTGAGCGTGCCCTCTGCCCTCTCTTCATCTGTGCCTCTCTTCAGGGAAGAGAGCTGTGGTAGGCTACGAAGATGGCACCATCAGGATTTGGGACCTGAAGCAGGGAAGCCCCATCCATGTACTGAAAGGTATCAGAGGTGGGGGAAGTGTTAGCCTGGGCCTTTGTCGGGAGGGGCTGAGATCCTGGGGGAGGACTCAGAGGAGAGGTAGGATGAAGCCTGACTGCCTCCCTGCTCTATGCTAGGGACTGAGGGTCACCAGGGCCCACTCACCTGTGTTGCCACCAACCAGGATGGCAGCTTGATCCTAACTGGCTCTGTGGACTGCCAGGCCAAGCTGGTCAGTGCCACCACTGGCAAGGTGAGTGGACCTGGAGCCCGGCTGGGGCCTCCGCTTTCTCGACTCCTCTCCTTCCTTCCTGGGTCTTCACTGTCTCCTCTCCCCACCGTCTTTCTCTCCATCAAGCACCCGGATTCCGGGCCCTCCTCTGATCCTCTCTGGCTTTCAGGTGGTGGGTGTTTTTAGACCTGAGACTGTGGCCTCCCAGCCCAGCCTTGGAGAAGGGGAGGAGAGTGAGTCCAACTCGGTGGAGTCCTTGGGCTTCTGCAGTGTGTGAGTGAGGATGGGGAGAGGGGTTTGTGGGAGGAGCCTGGGCTCGGGGCCCCGGAGGGAGGGCAGGGCGTGTGAGTCCAGGCCCTCATGAGTCTTCATGGTGTGCTCCTCTGCCCAGGATGCCCCTGGCAGCGGTTGGCTACCTGGATGGGACGTTGGCCATCTATGACCTGGCTACGCAGACTCTTAGGCATCAGTGTCAGCACCAGGTATGGGCAGCTGGAGCTGGGGTTGTACGGGCTGTGGCCATGGTGGAGGGAAAACCCAGGCCTCCAGGAGCATCTACCCCAGATCTGGCTCCTGCCTGGCTGTTGTGTGTGGCTGTCCCTCTTTGTGAGAACTGGGAGCAGATGGCTCGCAGCTCTCCTGCCAACCTCTGCCCTGCCTCTGTCATTCCTCGAGGCAGTCGGGCATCGTGCAGCTGCTGTGGGAGGCAGGCACTGCTGTGGTTTATACCTGCAGCCTGGATGGCATTGTGCGCCTCTGGGACGCCCGGACCGGCCGCCTGCTTACTGACTACCGGGGCCACACGGCTGAGATCCTGGACTTTGCCCTCAGCAAGTAAGTGAATTGGCCAAGGGCTGGGATCTCTGTGTATTTGGAAGGTGGGAGTAGTGGGGGACACAGGATCCTTGGGGTGTGGGAGGGGATTCCTAAGGCAGGGATGCTGGGAAGCCTGAGGGTTCACAGCCCAGCCCCCACCCCAGTGACTGATAGTGACCCTCCGGGGCCCCACATCTCAGTCATGAGGGAGAGGCTGAGACTGATTTTCCCCATCGGAGTCAGCTCTGCTTCTTCCGTGCTGGGGGCTTCCTCTAATTCCCTCCATGCTGGCTGCAGAGATGTCGGCCCAGTGCTGGGCACTAGGGCCCTAGAACTGAGGGTGTGCTGGAGGAGCCCACCCTAGGGCCCCTGGGTGGTGGGCTTGGGTCCCCCCGTCTCTGCAATCACATGCTTTCTGTTTCTAGAGATGCCTCCCTGGTGGTGACCACGTCAGGAGACCACAAAGCGAAAGTATTTTGTGTCCAGAGGCCTGACCGTTAATGGCTGCAGCCCCTGCCTGTGTGTCTGGTGTTGAGGGGACGGAGGGACCCCTGCCCCCGCCCGCCAGCAGAGGCAGTAGGGCACAGAGGGAAGAGGAGGGTGGGGCCCTGGATGACTTTCCAGCCTCTTCAACTGACTTGCTCCCCTCTCCTTTTCTTCTCTTTAGAGACCCAGCCCAGGGCCCTCCCGCCCTTGCCCAGACTTGGTGGGCCCTTCAGAGGGAGGGGCGGACCTGTTTCTCTTTCACTTTCATTTGCTGGTGTGAGCCATGGGGTGTGTATTTGTATGTGGGGAGTAGGTGTTTGAGGTTCCCGTTCTTTCCCTTCCCAAGTCTCTGGGGGTGGAAAGGAGGAAGAGATACTAGTTAAAGATTTTAAAAATGTAAATAAAATATACTTCCCAGAGACAGCGTCTGTGTGGATTTTGTGGTGGCTGGACCCTAGGAGGAGCTAGCTAGGGCCCCGTCAGGCAAGGCTCTCCCGCAGAGTCGGCTGGATGTTGAGATGTGCCAGCTCCCCGTCTCCAGGGTCTGTGCACACGACACTTCTTGTCTGCCTGGAGTCGACTCTGCCTTAATCCATGCGTATGTCTGTAGGTTCTTTCTGTTGTTGGTGTGTTGAGCCATTTCCTCCTGCCTCGCCCTGAGATACGGAATGAGATAAGCATAAACAGCCAGAGGAGTTTTATTCAGTCAGTGTGGGGTCAAATAGAGGCAGGGTCTCTGATCCAGAGAAGTGGGGCCCAGTGGAGACAGGCTGGGTGGCTGAGCTGGATGGATGCTCTGGTAGGAGTCAGCAGAGGCCCTTCCTTTAGTTCAAGTCCAGGTCGACGCTGCTTTGGCTGCTTGGGTGGTAGGCAGTGCTGGGGCCGGGACTGTCCCGGGAGGCTCTTCCCCGCAGCCCCTGCAGGCATCTTTGGGCGGCTGCCCTCCAGGGGGCTGTGTAGCGCCGATCGCCCAGCCCCATGGCCACGGGCACTGCCGCTGCACTGGCACTTCCCAGGGAGATGAGGGACAACAGAGTCCCAGGCCCCAGGGGTGGGCGCTGCTCATAGGCCAGGACTGAGAGGAGCAGTGTGGCCACGTAGGGTCCCCAGCACAGCCCGAAGAGCAGCATGGCTCCAGCCTGCGCCCTTGCCTGCCTCCAGGTAAGGGCCTGGGCCAGGGCCGAGGGCTCATTGCGGCACACTGCCCGCTCCAACCGGCGGATGTCCTGCAGCTGGCGGTGGGCAGTGACCAGCACGCGGACAGAGAGGAGGGCAGCAGCACCCACAGCGGGCAGCAGAAGCCCATAGACTTCGAGGTAGAGGTAGGGGGCTGGGAAGATAGCCTGGGAGCTGCAGTTGGCACCAGGGGTCCAGTGGTTCCACCCCAGAGCGGGCAGACTGGCAAAGAGCAGGGGGCCAGCCCAGGTGAGGAGCAGGGCCAGCCGAGTGCTCCCAGGGGGCTGGAGTGGCCTCAGGACTGCTATGTAGCGCTCCCCATGCACCAGCAGGAGGTTGGCGAGCAGGGAGAGGAAGGAGAAGTTGGGAGCCAAGTAGAGGAGGAGGCAGGACCAGTAACCCCAGCGACTCTGGTTCCACAGCCCTGGCAACGTGGGCAATGCCAGACCCGTGAGCAGCCCAGCCAGCAGCAGGCTCAGGAAGAAGCAGCCAGCAGGCGGGCTGCGCAGGTGGCGGTCCCAGGCAATGCCCAGGGCTAGCAGCAGGTTCGCTGTGACGATGAGGCTTGCCAGGGCCAGGGAGAGCCCCAGAACCCCCTTGGGAATGGGGCTGGGCACCTCGCCAGTGCTGTTGGGCGTCATCTCGGTCCTGAGGACGGGGGAGTCCTGGAGTGGCAGCCGGCATGCCTGCAGGATGGGGTGGCCAGAGTTAGGATGGGGCTGCAGGTCGTGTCCTCCTGGCAGGGCGGCATGTTAGTCCAGGGGCACAGACCCGCAGGCTGTGGGCTGTATTATGTTCGCTGATACACGGAATTTTTCAATTAATTGCCAATTAAACATATAAAAAACTATCTTTGGTTTCTATTGAAAAATCAGGTCTGGCAACACATATGTCCTATATGGTAGCAACCAGCCGGAGCTCACCGCTGGCTGCCCTTCCGACAGTCCCCACCCAGCCAGCTTTATCCATTTCTGGTATCTGCCTTTTCTGGGCAGCTGTGTTTAGGTCTCTTGTTTAGACTGAAAGGCGGGTCCATCCAGCCCCAAAGCATTTTGTGTATCCCTGCCTCCACCGGGGAGGCCCCTAAATGAGCCAAAAGAATGGACCAGGGCTGGCTGGTGTGTAGTGGTCTTCCGGCTGGCCATTAGGTGACAGGCTCCAGTGGGCCAGGTCTCGGGCACCCTGTGCCCTTCCCCCTATCTGTCCTTGTAGCCATCACAGCTCAGTGAGCAGCCTCCGGGTAGGACTTCCAGCCCATAAACTTGACTCGTCTTTGCTCCACACTAGCAACAGGGTCCTTCCTGGGAGCTGGAGGGAGGAGAGAAGCAGCAGGAGGGGACCTGTGGCAGTGAACATGGAGATGCCAGCAGCAAGGACAGGGACTCCCCAACACCCCCAGGCCTGAGGCTGAGCCCAGAGGAGAGGGAAGAGGAGTCAGTGGGCAAAGCCTGGCTTCTCTGTGGCTCTCATCTGTCCCTGTCCTTCCCGTCATTCCCTGGTCTCAGTCCTCCAGTGTCATGGCTCTGCTGCCACATCCTGGGGACGGGGGAGGGGTCCTGGGTCCTGTGGGAACTCCTGCTTCTGTCAACAGGGGAGCAGCTGCTGTTGCTAGGATCCAAGTCAATAAGGAAAGGATTCATACCTCTCCCCTCCTCCAGGACAGGGGATCAGGGCCCCATGGCCACCCTGAGCTGAGAGGAAGGAAGATGCTCCCCTTCCTTCCCAGGTTCCCCCAGCACCCCGAACCCGGGCCTCCAAGGCCTTGTGCCCCCTTTCCCCTCCCCTAAGCGTGTTTTCTCTTCCTCAGTCTCCTCCAGTGCCCTCCACCCAGGATGCCTTTTCCTCTCTCGAGGCCTTCCAGTTTCTGTTCCCTTCCCCCTAGCACCATCAACTCTCTCAAGCCCCGCGAGACTCAGGGTTCATTACCCCAAACCTGGCCTAAGCTGGAGCTCCCAGCCCTAATTGGAATGATTCCCCCCACCCCACCTCCACCAGAACAGTGACAAAGGCAGGGAGCAGCCCCTAGGGGTGATTTCCCAGCAGGGTGCAGGCTGTACCACCTGCACACTCCCAGGGGTCTGGTGGCTTGGGCTGGGTGCAGTGGCCTCTCCAGGATCTGGGGTTTGGGGGTTGGGGGAGTAGCTACTCACATGGCTGTTGGGAGCAGGTATTGCCTGCCCAGCCTGGGCCTTCCTGAGTGTCAGGGAGTTGCTACAGCCAGTCCTGCAGGGGTTTGGACCATGTCTGGTGTCCTGGCTGAAGAGCACAAGTGGACCAAGTGCATGGTGTCTCCACCCGGTGGAGACAGCGGGGCCAGGCTCTCCTACCCAGGCTCTGCCCGTCTGGGTTCTCAGAGGGATGGAGAAACGAGGCTGGCGGGACTCAGCCCCGGCCCCGCCTCTGGGAGGTGGGACCTGGCATATTCTGAACCGTAGCAACTGGGAGGCCTGCCTCCCCCTCCCACCCAGTGTCCCTCTGCCCTGCCACCTAGGTGGCAGTTTCCCTACTCCAGCTTGGAGTAATCTGAGAAATGCATTCCAGTTAATGAATAATAGTGATTGACTTACCCCTCCTAACTTCCCGCCTCAGCTGATGCATTTACATTTAAGCCCCTGGACTGGCCGGTCAGTTGACAGTACACCAGGCTCCCTCCACACTTCCGTGTGTGATGGCGGCAGTGGCGGGTGTTTGGGGCCTGAGGATCTTCACTTCCCCATCCCATCGCCTGATGGGCCTTTCAGTTTATAAGGCCAGACTTGCCTTCCTGAATCTGGGGTCATTCCATACTTTTCTCAACTGCTTTCTAAGTTCTGAACTATGAGGGACAAATGGCTCTGGGGATGTGACCTTGGGTAAGGTACTACTGGGCCTCGGTTTTTGTCTGTGTTAAAATGGGAACAAGAAAAACGACCTCTAAGGTCGTGGTGGGGCATATCACAGCATAACACATATGGCTGCATATACGCCAGTGGCTTGGCCCTTGATGGGTGGGGGTTTGCTCCAACAAACGACTCCCTCTCTTTCCTCCCCCACAATGAAGAGGCATGAGCTGGCGCTGGAATCAGAGCTGTCTGGATCCTTTTAAAAGCTGGTGAACTTGGGCAAATGACTAAAATTCTCCTGCCTTAGTTTCCTCATCTGTAAAATGGGGCCCATAGTTGTACTCACCTATCGTGAGACTAAATGAGGTCCCGTGTGATGAGGACTCAGATCAGCACTTGGTCCTTCAGCACTCCGTGACAGGCAGGCGATCGCTAGGAACATTATTAGGATTTTTGCTTTTCTCTGCACCTGGCCCCTCTAAGACAGATCTGCTGAGAGAGGCACATGGGGAGCTTAGGAAAAGCAAGAGGGGAGTGACACTTTTGCTGCACAGGGAAACTGAGGAAACCACGTACACTGAGAGGGAAGGGCAAGTTCAAGGCTCGGAAGCCAGGAGGAGTGGTGCCTCGATTTCCACCTTGTATCAAGTGCGGCTTTGGAGTGAGGGGGAGGAGAGAAGCCCAGCCACACTCCCTTAAGGCCTGAAATGGGAGGGAACAGGCGGAAACTGCAGCAGGAAAGCTGGCGCTGGGGGTGAGACATTAGGAAACACTTCCTGGCTGAAAAAGTAAATGGAGCAAAGGGACTTCCGTGCTTTCCAGGAGAGCTGGGCCTGAAGGGCTGGAGGTCCGCGGAGTGTGGCTCTGCTAGCTCTGCACAGTCAGTCAGGGATCCTGAAGAGGAGGGACTTCTGTTGGGACAAAAAGTGGGAAGACGAAAGCATCCAGCCTCAAATCCATCCTCGAGGGAGCTGGTGGGTGGGGAGGATGCAGGGTTCCAGGGCCGGCCCTCAGAACCACGCGATATGATAGGGCAGAAGTCACAGGCTCTGGGAGAGTTCAGCCTGGGGCCTGGACAGAAGTGGGTGTGGGACCCTTCTGATATGGGACTGCCAGGAATAAACAGACCTCCTGTTCCCAGCCCCGGCCTGCTCCCCGCGGGATCCAGGATGTCTGTTTCTTCTCTGCTGCTCTGTCTAAACAGTGTGTGTGGGATGTGTGAAGGGGGACAGATTAGGCAGTGGCAGCCAGGGAGCCTGGGCTGTCTCTTGCTCAGCCTTGCTTCTCCCTTACTAGATAATCTAGTTCCTGTCTGTTCCATCAAGCCCTGGGGCTGACTCACCCCCTGGCTTCTTCCTTCAGCCACGAGGGCTCTGGTGCAAGCCGTCTTCAGATGCTCCATCCAGCCGACTGTGCCCGGACCCCATTCTCCTTTCCTCAGGCAGAACCTGAACGGGGGTGACCAATCCAGACTCTGGCACGGAATCCTCCTGTGCCTCCTTTGTCCGTTTCCATTCTCTTAGCTATCTGAATTTCTGTTGACCCACAATGTCTGGGACATGAGTGTCATGCTGGCTGGGGGTACTAGCTCTGGACCAGTGGAGGCAGCAGGGACGGGGTTTCTTGGACCCTGGTTGGCCTCCCTGAGCCGCTGTTTAACACTTCACACTCATGCCTGTAATCCCAGCACTTTAAGAGGCCGAGGCCTGGGCAACGTGGTGAGACTCCGTCTCTACAAAAAATAAAGATTAGCTGAGCACAGTGGTATATGTTGTGTGGTTCCAGCTACTCAGGAGGCTGAGGTGGGAAGATCGCTGGAGTCCAGGAGGTCGAGGCTGCCGTGAGCCTTCATGGCGCCACTTCATTCCAGCCTGGGTGACAGCGTGAGACCCTGCCTCAAAATAATACTTAAAAAAAAAATCAGAGCCAGGCGCAGTGGATCATGCCTGTAATCCCAGCACTTTGGGAGGCCGAGGCGGGTGGATCACAAGGTCAGGAGATGCAGACCATCCTGGTTAACACAGTGAAACCCTGTCTCTACTAAAAATACAAAAAATTAGCCGGGCGTGGTGGCATGTGCCTGTAGGCCCAGCTACTCAGGAGGCTGAGGCAGGAGAACTGCTTGAACCCGGGAGGCGGAGGTTGCAGTGAGCCAAGATCGTGCCACTGCACTCCAGCCTGGGTGACAGAGTGAGACTCTGTCCCCCCCCAAAAAAAACAAAAGAAACAAAAACCAAAAACAACAAACCTCCCCCCGCCGCCCAGAAATGGCAGTGCTTTTAGCAACCCCCAGTAGGGGGCAGCATTGCTTGAACTCAAAATCGCCATCAGAGTAGACCCAGGTTCCGGTTGAGCACCCATCAGTACTACTCCAAATGAGGGTAACTTAATGGCAAACAACTCCAAGTAACGGCTCCCCCCAAGAAGGCTGAGGCAGCAGCTAGAGCTATTTCCTTTTCTTGGTTTCAATTCCTCCTCCAAGTCCACCCTTCCACTTCCTGTTAGTCTTAGTGTCTTTCCTGCCAAGCTCCTAATTTTTGGCTTGCAGCTTGCCCCAGGTCCCACTTTTTCCAGACATGGAGATTCCTACCTGCCTTGCCCGGGCAGTAAGGGCCATTCAAGCAGGGGAAAATACCAAAATACCAACGACCTTGGGGAAAGCCTAGGAAACCCCAAGCACCGAATGAGGGTTGGCTTCTGCGGGACTTTGCTGGGGCAGCAGCCTGTCGCTTCTGATCCCCTTGGGTGTATAAAGGGAACCAAGATTCATTAAGTGACATTGTAATTACAGGCATCATAATGCTTACCATGTAAGAGACATTTATTCTCTTTTCCTTTTACAAATCCTCGGGTAAATGTCCAATTTAAATGAGGTTACCAGAGCTCAGATTAAGAGATTTGCTGTCACACAGCTATTGGATGGCGGAACCTGGATTCAAACTGTTCTTCTACAGCCCATATCCAAATATACCTGCACCTCCCAGGTGTGAACCCTTGGGGCACTGGCTTCCTGAGACTAGGAAGAAACAACTAGATCCCCTTTTCCCAGCCCACACTCTCAGTGTGCTTGACCTTCATCCTCAGACGTTCTTCCTGCGGTCCTAAGGCCTCAACTGGTGACAGTGGGCTGCTTCATCTGTGAGGAGGGTCTTTGAGGCTAGATCCGTACTAACACCAAGTGTGTCCTTGTTAAGAGTCAATCTGGACAGGGGTTTACACCAGTATGGATTTTTTTCTTCTGAGACCGGGTCTCACTCTGTTGCCCAGGGTGGAGTGGAGAGGCACACACAGCTCATTGCAGGCTTGACCTTCAGGGCTCAAGCAATCCTCCTGCCTCAGCCTCGAGTAGCTGGGACCACAGGCATGCACCACCACATCCAGCCAATTTTTATTTTTTGTAGAGGCAGGGTCTCGCCATGTTGTCCAGGCTGCACTACAGATTTATTTATTGGTGAGATTATTTATTGGAGAGTTCAGCTCTTGTCGCCCAAGCTGGAGTGCAATGGCATGATCTTGGCTCACTGCAACCTCCGCCTCCTGGGTTCAAGTGATTCTCCTGTCTCCGCCTCCAGAGTAGCTGGGATTACAAGCACCCGCCACCATGCCCAGCTAATATTTGTATTTTTAGTAGAGATGGGGTTGCACCGTGTTGGCCAGGCTGGTCTCAACCTGACCTCAGGTGATTCAGCCGCCTTGGCCTCCCAAAGTGCTGGGATTACAGGTGTGAGCCACCACGCCCGGCCAGATTAAGTTTTTTATAGAGATGGAGAAGGAGTCTCACTGTTACCCAGGCTGGTCTTGAACTCCTGGGCTCAAGCAGTCTTCCTTCCTCATCCTCACAAAGTGCTACAATTACAGGTGTAAACCACTGTGCTCAGCCTGCACTATGGATTTTTAATGTTGACAAAGCGTCTTGGAACTAGTTACTTCCTTAGGATCTACTGCTGTAGAAAATATTTATGCCTTTTCATTTTTCTCCGAACTCCATATCTTCTAAGCAATCTTGGTTCTGCCATCTACAGTACCTACCAGAAACTGGATTCCTGCTACTGGCAAGAGAGTACAGTGAGCTCCAACATTAGTTATGTTCTACTAAGGAAGAAAGCAAAACCTCAGCTGGACATGGTGGCAGGTGCCTATAGTCCAGCTACTCCGGAGGTCAGGAGCTTGAGTACAGCCTCAGCAACACAGTGAGACCCTGTCTCTAAAAACTAAAATTAAAATAAAAAAAGAGCAAAAACTGCTTCTAGTCAAAATTCCACCTGACAACCCCTTAAATAACTCATGAGGTAGAGAATGCACACGTTGCTGTCAATATATCCAATTAATCTAGGTTTTCCAAGTACCAGAAGTGGTCAGGGGCACCCTGAGCAGCCAATTAGAACTATCAGAGTACCCTGAGCTCTCTAGCAGCCCATTTTAGTGAAATAAAAACGAAGTCTGATGACTGAACGACCTGTGGTTTTCAAAATTCTCCACTGTGACTCACAGTCAAAAGACATTTCTATAATCCAGTCATGATGTGCATATGTAACTAATATACATTTCCAAACCAACACTTACCCTTAATAGATGCGATGCACTCTGATACTATTCAATTGCTTAAAAATGCTGGTGTCACATAAAGCTACACATATGACAACAATGCACAGATGTACACCACATACAGTGCAGCAAATCTGAAGAAGGTGGGTGGACTATACCAATGACCTTTTCTTGGCTGTGATGCTACACAACAATTATACAAGATGTTAGCATGGCGGGGAAACCAAGTGGAAGGTATACAGGATCTCTCTGTATTGTTTCTTACAACCGTATTTAAATCTAGTTATCTCAAAATCAAAAGTTTAGAAAACAAAAATGCTGGTTGTGATATAGTCAGGTTATGTCACAATTAATGGGTCCCAAGCCAGTATGAAACACACTGCCATAGATGGAAGGCAGAAACCATTAGAATGACCATCAGACCATTGCAGATGCCCTTAAAATTCTCTTAATTCCTTACTCCAAGCAAACTTTCTGAAGCAATTTCATTTCAAGGACCAGAGTCCTGCTGAGGGACAGCTGCTCGACTAGGCTCTGTACTGTTTTTGACAACTTCTCTCCCTGAAAGCAGTCTTTTGGGCTGCCATGTGAGAAAGACAAACTGTGGCCAGTTAGTTTGCATCAGACATACACCTGAATAACCATCAATGCCCTGCAGGACCACACACTAAGGAACACATTTTGGGAAATCCCACACATTATTCACAATAAAAAAACCAGAAAACCGTTTGTCTGTCACTGTCCAGGGAGCTTCAGGAACAGCCACAGAGTCTCAGGGACCAAGCTTTACAAGGAAGCATGTAAGTTTGTATTAATAGCTCGGGTTCCATGGCTCATGCCTATAATCCCAGCACTTTGAGAGGCTGAAGCAAGCAGATTGCCTGAGTCCAGGAGTTTGAGACCAGCCTGGGAAAGATGGCGAAACCTCATCTCTACTAAAAATATAAAAAATTAGCCAGGCATAGTGGTATGCGCCTGTAATCCCAGCTACTTGGGAGGCTGAGGTGGGAGGATCACCTGAGCCCAGGAGGCAACAAGACCCTGTCTCCCAGTCGGGAGGGGAGGAGTTTAAATATAGTTCACTGGCCAGCCATTCTCTCCTCTAGATGAAGTGAGGACCTAAACCTGATGGGCTCCTGAAACTAGGGCTTCCCAGCTTAGGTTTGCAGGTTCAAGGGCAGTATAGGTCTATCCTTCTTCCTTCCTTCTCTTCTCACGTTGGACCCGCAGTCCAGAAACCCAGTAAATTCTCATGTAAGATAGAAAGATTTTCTTTATTAATGACCCCAACCGTATTTCTTTAGATACAGGAGTTTTGAACTCAAATACTTAGGAGAAAACAAGTTAAGATTGCATTATCCTGCAACTCATTACCAGTAACATATTGCAAAGCGAAACAGCTTGGAAAAGAGGGTAGGAGAAAAGGGAAGCGAGGGAGGGAAGATAAAGAAAAGGAATTAAGTTGATCAAGTGGAATTTTTTTTTTTTTTTTTTTAATTCTTGGGAACTATGAAGTCTTTGCAAGCACAGCTCGTTTCTGCAGATTATTTTCCAAACGTGTACAAAATGGAACCAAAACGGAGAATCCCTTAAGAACCTGAAGAGGTGCAACATTAAAAGCTACGATTATCCAGTAGCAAGTGTTCCAGACTTCAGTTGCCAGCCGCTTCCTCCTCTTATTCCCAAGATTAGCGGGATGAAAACGTCTTCCCCCTTCAAAAGGAGAGATAAGTGCGAAGGTCAGTTTCTGGCTGCCCTTTCCTCCCACCCCACACTCCTAGACTAGATGGGATCCCAAAGAAACACCAAATGAAAGGTGGAAAGGGCTAGATTCCTTAAGCAGAGGCACTGGAACCACAGGACATGGGCTAAAATCTGGCTTTCACAGAACGGTTTCACCAGCTCTTCCTTCCTATCGGATACTTCGGATGCCCAGGAATATCAGTGTTAAGCCCATAAGGACATTCAATGTACCAAGTTAGATAGAAGAATCACTTGTCCATAATTTTTGGATGGCCTAGATGTACCTGAATTTCTGACTAGGCTCAACCATCGTCTTAGTACTACCTCATTTGTCAGCTCCTCCTACACAGCGTATACCTCTCAGGGTTCCCAGATAGCAGTTCCTTCATCTCTCACCATGAAGGCAGGTGGCTGGTTCAAAGCAATCCTCAGAACTTCCAAGGCTAAAGGTATTTCTGCTATC